ACGTGGACAAGGTCCTGTGGGGCCTGCCGTAGGTGACCCGGCTTCGGCAGGCGGTTGGACTAGATGACCAACAGAGGTCCCTTCCAACCCCTACTATTCTGTGATTCTGTGATTCTGTGACGTGGCAGCCTGGCCAGATCTCCCAGACCCGCAGTGGTGAGCGCCCTGCTCACACGGGCAGCAGACAGCGTTACCTTCTGGGGCTGCACAGGATCGACTATCGCAGCCTCCTTCGTCTCCTCGTCGATGAGGAGGTACATGTAGTTGTCTGTGAGGGCTGGGAGTGATTCCACCTTCATGTCGGCTTGTGTGACCGTCTTCGACTTCCTCCGCTCGTGCTCCGTGTGCAGGAAGACAGCTCGCAGCTGCGCTGGACCTGGGGACCCCAAAACAGTCGAACCTCAGGTTAGCCCAGGGAGGGGAACAAGGGGGACAGAGCACAGCAGGTCCCCCAGCCCCAGAGAAGGCAGGGTATGGACAGCCCAGCCTTCCTCCTTCAGAGGAGGAAGAGAGAGGCCACCACGGGACAAAGCCTCAGTGCCTGGCTGTGTCACCTTGTGCCCCACGGCGCGGGAGGCTCTCGGTGCCCTACAGCTGCCCCAAAGTGGAGTGGGACACTTTGCTCCCAGAGATGTGCTCATGCAGGGAAAGCGCTGTATCATTGGAGACAAGATTTCAAGGGGCAGAAAAGCAGAACGGAGAGGGAACAGCCGGGCAAAGGTCAGCCTGGGACAGTGACTTTGCAAAATAAGGACAAAATGCCATGTTACAGCCAAAAGACAAAAAAGCCAGGGGAGAGAAATAAACACATACACTGCTACAACAGAAATATCTGGTTCCTTACTCGGGGAAATCACACCCCGCACAGCGCGTGGAGGGAAGACAGGCTCTCTGCATGCAAGGCAAGGCTCCCTGCCTGCCCAGGCACCAGCCACGCACTGCAGGCAAGTTTTCTTGCTCACGGGCCACCTTAATGCAACAGCATCACGTCGCTATTTGCTTTTGGTTAAATGTTTAATCAGGTCCAAGAAGCAAATCTAATTCCAGATACAAATAACCTGGGCTCCACTGTTCAACTCACAGATAGGCAGTAAGTAAAGAAACAACCAAGACCTACGAGGCTCTGCCAGAAAAAAAAAAAGGAGTGAAGAGGACAAGGTCTTGCATTGCTGGGGCCCTGCGCCCTGGGTCCATACACCC